ATGTATTTTGTGTAAATGAATAATGTATATGTTTTCCGATGTTAATGCAAGTGTATATTCATAATGTTGTTGTTGCTTGTGCTATCCTTGATCTCGTGTATTTTAAATTGTACAGGTGTTTATGTTGCTTCTGTGTGTACATGATTCTCTGTGTTGTGTGTTGGGTCGGCGACGCGTCCTGGGACGTCGCACAAGTTCGATCTCGGTTGGGATGCTCGCGCGCCGTAGGGATCAGGGCGTGACACCAAGGTAGCAATGAACATCATGAATATGAACTTACATTAATACAAGGGAGATTTACAATATCCATCGAGAACATAAATATACATAAACCAAAACGGGTCAGCAAGCCACTAACATCAAAAAGAGATACGTGGCTTGGGGCGGTCAGGTCCTATCTCTAAAAGGGATCCTATCAAAAAGTGGCGGCCCTAAACCCTAGCTATAGTCAAGGCTGACCCCTAGGGTACCCAATCCGAGTCGTATCCTGAAGACTTAAAAGAATCGTCGGACGACTCGGACTCAGAGTCCATAAACTCTGGCTCGGACTCGATCTCCACTGGCTCCTCCTCGGGATCATCCTCCGGCTCCGGCTCTGGCTCCAGCTCCATCGGCTCTTGCTCGGATCGGACTCCCACTTCATCGGCTCCTCCTTCTCAGGGTCAGAATTCATATTGACCTCGTAGATGATGGGCCGGGGCTTAGAATCCTCATCGGACACGGCATCGGGACTCACTAACTCCTCATCAGCTGCCTGCAGGTCCCAATGACCTAACCCATCGATCGGGACATCAAAAGTCCTATGGGACCCATAATTGCCAAACTGGTCCCGAAAACACCAACCAAGGTAAGGATGAGCCTGGAACTATGACTCGCCCACGTCGACCCAAACAATGGTATAATGCCTAACATAAGTCTCCCCGTTTCCAACAGGGTACTCAATCACCGAACACTCTCTGTGGTACGAGATCCCAAAACGTATCGGTACGTCTGCCATCCTCAAGGTCGGGGGTCTGAAATGATTATATAATAACCATGAGAACGAGTCTCAATAAGCAACACCCTAAACCCATGTAGGTCAATGCATACCCAGACAAGTCGTACATGCAATCTAACCCATAACATATAGAATTCACATCATTGTACTTACCTCGCCATCAAACACATGCCGACTCTGCACGTTAGTCAAAATGTGATAATGCAATACTAATAACTCAATAACATATCACAATCACTCAAACACCAACCACACTTGCACTCAATCAATCCAACCAATTCGATCACACATTCCACCAGCCAATTCAATCACACTCAATTCGCATGCGTGGCCGAACAACTTTCTCACGACCCGCGCCACTGCGCCTCAGGTCCATTCTCATTGTCCACGCCACTGCGCCTCAAGCCCAATCTCACAGCCCGCGCAACTGCGCCTCAGGCTCAGCCCTCCGATCAGTTCAGGTTCGATCCCGCGTAACCACGCCTTGGGACATTTTTCCCCTTCCAATGACCCGCGTAACTACGCCTCAGGTCTAGTCATGCCTTTCTCTCCACACCCGCATAACCACGCCTCAGGTTGGCAGCCCTCCGATCAATCCGAGCTTTTCTCATGCACATTCACCACAACACAATTCGCCATTCTCACAAGTCATACCAATTAAACTTAAAGCATGCTCACCACATCACAACTCGCCATCCAACACGTCGTACAATTCAAATTCAATCATGCTCGCCACAATATTCCACCAACCCGACATTCAAGTCAGCCACAATCAGACATCAATTCCACTCACAAACGCCACAATAACCCGACAATCCATCTCAATCGGCCACTCGATATATGTCACAATATAGTCCACTACGAACCACATCCAATCAGCAAATCTATCCCAAGCTCAACCCCTAAACCGGTACTAATTAACCCCTAGACAAGTCTAATAATACCCAATGTACTAAGTAAGTTTTAGGGAGTCACTTACCTAAGTCCAAGCCCAAGAAATCCCACAAGGGTAGCCAAGAGACCGGTTGGGGCAGCGGCTGACTCAGCACGGGCGCGGGCCAAACGGGCGCGCTGATCGGCTAACACGGGCACGGTGGCCGGACGGTGTGCCTGGCACGCGAGCGCGGTGGCCGAGTGGCGTGTCCAGGCGTGCACGGGCGAGCTGGACGGGCGACGCGCCTGGGCGACGGGCCGGCTGGACGAGTGATGTGCCCGAGCGATGAACCGGGTGGACAAGCGACGTGGCCGAGCGACCGGCCGGCTCGGGACGCTCGGCAACGGGCTCGGCCATGGCCGGGTTGGCTGGCTGGCCGGCAGCGGCGACGAGTGGTGGAAACGGGAGGACGGCGGGTGACGGCGAACTGGTCCCGGCGACTGGCTCGGAGGGAGGGGGAAGTCAGCTGGAGGTGGTGATGGCGAGAGAGAGAGCTGGGGGCGGTGGGGCTCGGCCGGAGCAGGGACAGCTGCGTCGTCGTTGGAGCAGCAGGGCGACGGCGACGAGGCGAGCGGCTGCTGGCAAGACCTACGGCGGCGAGCTACTGGGCAAGCTGGCGAGCGGTCGGGGCAGCATGGCGGCGAGCTGGCAGGTTGGCGACGACTGGCTCAGTCAAGACAGCGGCGATGGTGGCGGCGATGAGCTCCTGGCGGCCCGGCGAGATGAGCTCGCGGCGGCGACGAGCAGGCACGCAGCGGCGAACTATTGCTCATGCGCGAAGGGGAGGGAGAGAGGAAGGATAGAGGCAGTCGGGCTTGGGGCGAGCGGTGGGACGGATGGCGCGGCGGCTGGTGGGGTGGCGGCGCGGCGGCGGTCGGGCGGCGACGAGGTCGGCCTGGCAGCGAGCAGGAAGCAGGAGCAGCGGTCGGGCGAAGGAAAGACCGACGAAGAAGAAAAAGAGAAGAAGAAGAAAGAGAAGGGAGAAAAGAAAAGAAAAAGAAAGATGAGAGAGAGGGGGCAGGTTTGCATGGCCAGGGGGGTGTGCGTGCGTGAGTGGACGTCCACATGCGGGGGAAAAGAGAGAGAGAGAGAGAGAGAGAGAGAGAGAGAGAGAGAGAGAGAAATAGGACAGATGCAAAGGTGGGAAATGTGGGCGGCAGAGGAGAACGGCGCGGCAGAAGGGAAGAGAGAGAGAACAGACGGGACAGGGGGGAAAAACGTGCGCGAGCAAAGCGGCAGGTGTGAGAGAAAGAGAGAGAGAGAGAGAGAGAGAGAGAGACAAAAGTTAATTTTTGTCCTCAAGCGCGATCCAACGGTCACGATTTGAACTCGAAAATCAATCTAACGGTCCACGAAAATCCTAATTAATAATTAGGAAAAAGGGCCAGAAGAAACTAACTAAACTACACTACGAGGGAGGTCTACTATTCCAAATTCGCACCCGGTCAAAAATTTACTTTTCCACTATTCCTGGCAATATCAACGCTGGTCACAATAATATCGACATCGTCCAATTAAATTCGTCCTGGAACTCCGAGAAATTCTACACCAAAGTTTGGGCTCTAAATAACGGCAAAATTCGATCAAATGCGATTCTAGCGAAATCCCAATTTTAAAAACAATAACCGGGAGTGATCAGTTCCCGAGCGAGATTTTACTATAAGCACACTGACGAATTACACGTGTTATAAATCCAAAAAATGAGCCAAAATTCAGAGTGTCACATATTTACTATCCTATCTCTAGGAATAGCAAATCTACTTAGTTTATCAATCCACTATATCTCTATGTGAATTTAAATAAACATAAGTACGTTAAAATCTGTGAATATTTCCTGTTTACAGTAAATCTTTTGGACCACCTTATCACCGAAAACTATACAAATAACATGGTATACTTCTATCCACATTTAATTCATGGTTATCTATTATAAGGAGCAATTGCATATTTTCACTTCTCGGTCTCAAACATGCACATCAAATCATTCAAGTGGTGGCCAGTCACTTAAAGGCATTAAGTACAATAATATATAATTCACATGAATGAAATCACTTGCAAAACATAAAAAGTATGAAATTCATATCATCATGGTTAGGCTACATCGTAGCCCTAACAAAAAAAAATTAGAACATAATAGAAGAAGAAACGGAAATATAAATTAAACCCAACATCTTGAATTAAAGAGCAAGAATTCTATCATCAGTTTTGTCTTCTCTTCAAAATACTTGAAAACTCTCATAACAATGAAAACAAAAACGATAAAAAAAAACTAAATATTCCTCCCAAGCTCTCAATGTTATAGGATAACATTTAAGAATCCTAACATAAGGCAATTGCTTCTTTTTCCCATAAAACTAGGGAATAAATTGCAGAATTCCCGATATGATATCCACTTTCTAACTATTCTCTGGGTAGCATATTTCTTTCCTTCTTTTTGCCATATTTTCCTTATTTTCTCCATATCCCATTATTCTGCATAAACAAGGAAAATTTGAGTAAATAAAATGAAATTCAAATATTTTCTAACAAATATTGCATTATTTGTTACCTAAAGTAGATAAAATAACTCTATTTTTGTAGAGTTATCACTAATCATCTAATTAGCACCCTTTCGGCATTTAAACCCGCCTTGTTTCAAAGAGGCGATTCATGCAATCTTGGCCATTTTAACCTAAGCTACTAACAGTGATCATGCAGAGGTACATAAATAATGAAGATAAACAACCCAAATCAAGGCAATAAATAAAGAAATGATAAAGCAATAAGTACTTAAATATAAAGACCCGAGCTGTATCTGACTCAGTATTAGATAGGCAAAGTTTTTTGGTTTTCTTCTAATTTTTAGGATGTAAAAAAAAGGTGAATTTAAACCATCCGGATGTTAACATGACAAGATATTAGCTCAATAAGTAAACAAGATGGCATATAATTTCTTCAGGAAAAAGGTTCGTAAACTATTCGAAACAAAATACAATCGTAGAGCATGCTTTAAAGCACCGAAAAACATACATGAGATATTAGAACCAGATAAGCTAGTTGATTTTGTGGCGGACAATGTTCCTATTCCCATCAGGTATTTTCAGGGCCAATGCACAAACATTTTGTTGTTATATTCCACTGCTTTTCAAGCCCTTCTTCCAGATAATTGAGTATAACCGCAGCATGTTTAGAAGCACTGTGAAGACTTTGAAGTCGTCGGGCCACTTCAAGCAATCTATGTGAATCAACTACCTCGCGCTTAGACTTAACTTTGATGACCATATTTTCCAGAATAGATGCATGTCCAAGCATAAACTTTACCAGCAGGAGAACTTCCTCATATTTGATTCTTAAACATGCATAAAATCCAAAAACCTCAACGTTCTTGATATGCCGAGCCCAACTCTTGAACTTCTTCTTTATATTCCAATTGCTCTCATGATCAACATTGTGAGAGTTTAAGTCAGATTCACACTGCAAAAGGATAAAAGATAGTGAATGTTCCAACAAAAAACATGATTTAGTTTCCACACTATAATATTTCAATCACCACATAGAATAATCATTCTTTGTCAAATCAGATGTCTAGCCTACAATGACGAGATTAGAGGAAATCATAAACAAGGGAAACCAAAATTTGGGCACTAGAGTTCATCAATGTATGCTCAAACTTCTCATTGTCAACATCACAGTGGCCTTCACAAAAAAAGAAAAAAAAAAAGAAAAAGAAGAATTCATGATCTATTGTGAAACATCCATAGCATTATAGATGGAGCATTTGAAACATAGGTAGCGACGGTCATGAAACAAACAGGTCATCACGCTAGTGTCATTAGTTCATGGACTCAACAAGACAAAGGAAGGAAGAGTCTTTGGTACGATTTAGTTAATTCTTGAAGTATCTAAACCTGTGGATTCGAGTTTAAGGAGTATACCCAGAGGTCGCCCCAATCAGATGGCTCAAAAATTATAACAAGCTTCTCCAAATTTGGTGTAGTTGCTAGTATATATGCTATAGCAGGAAAACTGAATTGATAAAAGGGAATGTGTAGCGTTAGAGACTTGCAATTCGGCAACGACACCTGCACGTCTTCTACCTTTAGAGGCCACATAACCTAATCACGTCAGAAAGGTAAAGTCAGATTAACAAAAAAAAGCTATTAGAGGGTCACATCATTCTATTTGTTACGTTAGCAATAACACGGAATGATAAAACATAGACTAAACTTCTCTTAAGTACGTCACATACCAATAACTTTTATCTCATAGACAATTCAATCAATATAATCCCAAAACATCCATAAACTTTGGCAGAATAATGTTCACTATCTTAAGTGAAAAACTACATGAAAAAAGATGATGTCCATTAGGAAGCAAGATTATGCTCACCCGAAGGCACCAAGCGCCCAAAAGAATTTGAGTAGTGTTCTGCAGCTTGGAAAGCATTTGCTTGAGCAGGAAGTAATCTGATTTGACTGGACCGTCGAAATCTAATTCTGCATTGACTAAGGATGGTGCTTCAATAATTCTTAGCATCTCATGAAAATGATCCCCTCTCACATGCAATGACAACAAACGAGGAGTCCAGATCTCCATAGGGGATTCCACAATAAGAGCATCGATTACCAACTCTCTCAAGCTTCTTGAATGAATTTTTTTTACACCCTGGCAACTTATCAAATTTAAGTATTCACGAACAGGGCTGCCCATCAAAATCTTCCGAAGCACATCATCACTCACGGTTTGAATGGACAAGGACTTAAGCGAACTCCAATGAATACTTTCGCTAGATGAGAAACAACAGCCTCTTAAGCATAGCTTAGTCAAGGAAGAGCAATTATATAGCAATGGAGATAATGTGTAATGCTCCCAATAAATATTCACGATGAGAAGAAGGTCTTCGACTTGATGATCTATCGCAAAGTGAACCCACAAATCAATGGTAGAGTGGCAGAATTCCTGCTTTGATCTGATATCAAGGTGGAACCTTTTCACCTTAGGCCACATGTAGTGCGTCAAAACCCTATCCACAAATGAATAATCGTTAAAAGAGTCGAACCTGAGATCTGAAATAGTGGTCCAAACGGACCGCCACCTTTTCGACAAAATGCAAGTTTTGATGACTTCCCTTGTAGGCAAAAAGGAGAAGATGTGGTGGATTAGACAATCGGGCAAGAGACTGATGCAATCCTCATAATCATTTCGGGCCAGCGTCGAAGTATCTGCCATGGCTTATTGAATGAATTCTAGGGTCTCTTTACTTCTCTATTCAGTGAAGCACAGGCTTGTGCATGATCACCCTCTCTTTGTTGGGTTATGGCTCAGATTGGTGCTACGTTGCTGATGAAGTTCAAAATTTTATACTATGCTTAATGCCGAAATTCTTTTATCCTTCCAAATCCCAATAAAAGGAAAAAAAAATTTGATGCATCTAACACTGGCCTAAAGTGGTGTAAGCAACAAATCAGATTATTTGCTCAATATGCATCCATTCACCTTTTATCCATTATACATTGGATCTAATATACTTGAAAGAGTTGGATTATTTCCTCAACATATAATGATTGAACCTGCCCAGTTCAATAGATAGACATAATCTTACGGGTAATTGCCAAAAAAATGTCCTAAAAATATTATAGAGATGCCAATTTAGTCCTAAACCTTTTAATTTGGCCAATTTATAACCTAACCATTTTGACAATTTGCCAATGTAGTCCTTCCTACCAATTTTGGCCGGGAATTGTCACGCCCCGAACCCCATCGAGCTCGCGACATCCCTCTTCGGTCGAATTAGTGCGACGTCCCAGGAAACGCCGCCGACCCAAATGAACCCATCAGAGTTTAATCGCGGCGGGACATCAAACACCCAAACAATAATTTACCTGGGGTACTAGAGAAAATAAATTGCCAAACCACCAAATCTTATACTATACCTTGAATGAAGTACAATGTCCAATTACAACATAAACTTATGCCACAACCGCCAATTTACAAACCACAAAGCAAAATATACACATTGAACTACTAAACTGCAAACTACCGATATCACAAAAGATTAGTAGCCTGGGTAACGCTACACCAAAATGGGACACTTCCAAAGTCTTTCTCAGCTCCAAACTAATCCCTACGTCCTCTAGATGGCGTCCACTCTGACTCACTCTCTTCGGAATCCTCATCCGAATCCTCATCAGGCACATGCTTATCCGACGACTCCGATTCGGTCTCAATCTCGATCGGGTTATCCTACAACATCATGATCAGAGTGCATAACAGCCCCAAAACGCCGCGACGGCGGCGGAAGGTTCATGGCTCGGGCGGGTGATCTGAAATGGTTTGGTTGATACAACCATGAGACACTTCTCAATAAGTACACAACCTAAACCTTATCTAGGCTACCACGTATTCCAGACAAGTCCAGACACCGAATCAAGCAACACCCAACAACGTCCACACAATCGTACTAACAATCACATGCGATCCTACCTGAGATCCATCATGCACATCCCTGCATATCAAATAATAATACAGCCAATTCATTTATATCCATACTCATCCAGCACCATATCACACGAGGCAAACCACACTCACACACTAACTCACGCCATGCGTCAACTTTCACAATCTTCACGCGTCAAACCAAATCCAGCTCACTCTCAACTTTTCCACCACTACGGCGCCCGAGTAAAACGCATCAGGCCAACGGTCTTCTGACCTCGTCAGGCATCGTCACCTCGTCGGGCTGGGCATCGTCACCTCATCAGGGACGGCATTGTCGCGCGTAAACGAACACGTCTCAGGACAGAATCCTACATTCTCAACTTTCCTTTTCTACCGCGCCCGCGTAAAACGCATCAGGGCAACGGTCTTCTGACCTCGTCAGGCATCGTCACCCCGTCGGGCCGAGCATCGTCACCTCGTCAGGGACGGCATCGTCCCGCGTAAACGAACACGCCTCAGGACGGAACTTACCCCGCGTAAACGAACACGCCTCAGGGTATCACTTTTCCAACCAATCCTACATTTCCGTACCTTCATTCCACTCATTTCACATGTATCACACGGCCACACATACATACACGGCCACACACAATCTCACGCCTCACACTCACTTCGCAAATGCACATCCTTGCCACACGCAAACACCACACAATCATACATACTTGACACGTGAGCTCATTTCGCAATCACACCACACACCTCACGACCATACACACAGGGCACACGGCCACTCAATATTCAGCCCAACAATCATTCAGAAATTAACCAACAACTACAACCACGTTACAAACACACCATCCACATACAAACACACATTCAGGATCAATTCCCGTCACAAGGGCAGCAGCTATTCAACCTCGACACCCCCACCATTCCGCTCATAAAAACGAACACCCAAAGAATCGGGGTAAAATTGGGCAGTTTACACAGTGACCGAAATCCCATTCAAATAAATAGTAAACGAACTCCAAATTTCTGAAATTTGGATATGTTGCGTAAAACATCTTGATAAACATTTTCTGTGAAGAACTCGAAACCCAGTTCCAACTGTAAACACCTCTTTTTGTCACTTGGAATCAGATGAAAATTAACCAGTCCGGTCAGGCCACCTGACCATAAAAATACATCTCATCCAGTACCCAAATCACTTTGGATAGCCTTGAAATTTTTATATGTCATAGTCACAAATGTCCCCAACAAGTTTTGTGAAGGAACTATTTTAAAAATGGGTCTGGAAAAATTTATAAAAATTCGAACAGACCCGAAGGTCGGAGGAACAGTATTTCCAGCACACTAATTTCGGTCCAAAGATGGACTTCCGAATGGCCTCCGATGATTTCCAAAAATTCTCAAATTAAATTATGTCATACTTCAAGATGTTAGGAGAAACTTTCATGAAGAAAACTTCCTCAAATTCGGCCCACAAAATTCTCCACAAAAATAGCAAACCGGACGGGTACAGTCACCGCGAATCCGAGAATCACACCAAACCTCAAGGATTCGAACCCCAATTGATTTCTACCGAATTTCAACCGCCAAAACTCATTCCCAGACGTCTAATCCAATACACAACAGCCACCAACAGCCATGATCAGCCACCAACAACCACGATCAACACCCTAATCAACCCCTAAACTACCCTAAACCGCGTCTAAACGAGTCCAATAATACCCGACGTCCTAGGCAAGGGTTAGATTGCGACTTACCAAGCTCTAGACTAGCGCAGTTAGAGCGGAAAGCGGCAGCTATCGGCGGGGACGACGGTGAACGGCGGTACGACTTGGCTGCGTGGACAGCGCCGGCAATGGTGAGCGGCAGCGGTGACCTCCTTGCCGCGGCTCACTCACGGGAGGGAGAGAGAGAGACGGCGGTTGAGGGCTGGTGGCTCGGCGGTGGCGCGGCACGGCGCGGCGGAGGCGGTGATCGGCCAAGGGGGAGGGAGAGCTCACGTGAGGGAGAGGGAGAGAGAGGGGGAGTTCTCGGTGGGGGGGGGGGGGGAAACGTGAGAGAGGAGAGAGAAAATGAGGAGAGAGAGAGAGGTCTTGACTTAAATAGTGAAATTTGGACCAAAGTGGCAAATTACCATCTTGCCTCTCTCTCACAATCCAAATCGACGGCCCAGATTCGATCTTATCTTGAAACCGACGGCCGAGATCGAATCTTGCCCAAAATATCCAAGGTCAATCTTGGAATTTCTCAAAAAGTCCAAGGGCAAAAGTGTCTTTTCCAAATTTTAGGGCAAAATGACCAAAATGCCCTTGCCTCATAAAACTAACCCTTTAGAAAGCCTTAGGGGCAAAACGGTCACTTCCTTCATTTCTCATCGAAATCGAATTTTTCTAAAGGATTCGGGATAATCCAAAATTACACGTTCCAACTGCAACGTCGTCTTAACGCCCCGTTGTGACTTCCTAATTTTCCGGTGTCCGATTTGGGCTCAAACAAATAATTTAAATTTTATTAAACGCAACTCGAGCGTTTCTCAAACTAACGGGCGGCTCGTTGGGGAAATTCGCATATTCGACCCGTGACTGATAATAAATCGAGTCACGTGCAAGTTCGTTCGGTTCGTGACGATTTCGGTTGTCATTTAAATCGCAAGGATCAATCACTAGATCCGAGGGGTACGATCGTTTGGTATAAGTTCAGGATCATTCGTCAATTCATTTCGTGGTCCGGCGGAATCACCCGCGATCCACTACTATGACAGTGGCGAACTGACCCCTAACTATCCTTGGATTGACCAACAGTGGCTCAAAATGTCACCCCGGCGATTTTATGGTCGAAAATCAATTCACGATCGAATTTTCTCTTAGTCGCACGAATTTAAATCCCTAATTAGCCTTTCCCCAAAGGTTAGTGTCCCAGGAATGATCAATTCCATGCGAGAACTAACTACGAGTACATTTGTAAAACCAAATATTTCACAAATCTCAAATGGACAATTTTCAGGATGTCACAGGAATCGTTGATTTAAGCCATCTTATGTGGCCTAACTAAGATGGTGGGCATTGATGCGGATAATTATTATAATTTTTAAAAAAAATTCTGAAAATTTTCCCTTTTTTTTCCTTTTGTTTCCTTTTTTACTTTTTTTTAATTTCCCTCCACCGGTTGCTGGCCATAGGCAGGCCAACACTGACGAGGGCTAGGACACTCTTGCCGTCCTCTGGCGAGGCCGACACATGCTAAAAGGCCAGCGAGGGTCTAGTGAGTCCTCACTAGATCGGGCGAGGCCAAACGTAGGCAAGGGAGACCCTTGCCTATGGTCGGCAACCTCCGTTAGCCATCGTCGAAGCTCGGCAACCGGCAGAGGGAAATAAGGAAAAAATTTAGAAAATTTATAAAGAAAATTAAAAAATTGTCCATGTCTGTGCTGGCTATGCCACATAGTGTCAGCACTGATTCGACTGTCACTCAGCGATTTCCCAAAAAATTTGGCGAGAAGTACTATATTGGCAAATCGTCAAAAGATTTAGGACTAAATTGACCAAATTGAAAGGTTTAGGACTGAATTGGCATTTGCACAATAGGTAACTTAAGACTTGTTTGGTAATTATTGCTAAACTTCCTTGATGATAGTTATATTTGAATAGTTTCCTTCAATTTAATAGTTTCCTATTATGGGTTTTCATCACATATGCATATATTACTATTTACAACATAAAACTTAACACTCTTCTTTATGATTACTCTTATCGCAACTTCTACGTTGTTCGGGACTCCTATCT